TTAGCCGTACTTATAGTTGGTTTAACTTTGGCGTATAAACGTCTTGATCGATTCCCCTCTATTGACTCTTCGATGGGAAAACGAATGAAACGGTGAAAAAAGGCGAAAGAAAATCAATAAAGGCCACGGAGCATGGCGAAATTCTCATGAATACGCGAGCGCGAAAACACGTTAAAGAGGAGATTCAGCTTCGACTCGGTGCTTATGAAAGAAATAATATGGAAAATTTTGCTGCAATCTTAACAAACAAGCGCGTGAAAAGTATTCATCGGGCTCGAGCTGTGCCGCTACTATACGTTATATAGTCGACAACACTGGCAGAGCATTTCTTATTTAAAGGCGCGCAGGTATATAGGCATTCGTTCGCAGCAGCGAAAATGGCAACAATTGCGCCAGCGAGCACATACCAGATGCAAAGAGCTTAAATTAAATGCCAGTCAAGCAGTGGCAGTGACAGTCGTGAATTCGTTTGTTTTAAATATAAACGCCGCCGCGTGCTCCGCGGAAGCTTGATATTTTAATAAGTGTAACTGAAGCCTCGGCCCGATTATAAGCGAAAACATTCCTCGCTTTCTCTCGTGCGCGCGCGCGTGTAAAGCTAAGAAAAGTTAACCGTTGTAAAAGAACGAAGGATATACAAATTAAAACATCAGAGAGCGTAGAGTGAGCTCGCTCGGCGTCGCGCGCGCTAAAAGTCAAAAATTAAAAAAAGCCAAGCGTGTGTAGTGCGGGCTCGCGGCGCATGCACACAGCTACCTCCTCTCGCAGCTCGGCGAATGGCAAGTGGCGTCATTGCATGGAAATGGCAAAAAAAAATAAAAATAAAAAAAATAAAAAGGAACAGGTAGGTTTAACTAACGCTGTGCAGAGGCTAGCAGCCATTTAATTCTAGCCCAGAAATAAAAAATGCAGACAAAAAAGGAGAGCGAGCGAGAGGAGAATATATAAAAGGAAAAAAATTGAGTTCGTCCGCGCGCGCGCGCACGCGGTCAAAATAATTTTTTAGTTTTTTCTACGTGGTAGTGGCTGTTCGCTCGTTAGTAGTAGAACGTAGCTTTAATTGAGCGCGCGGGCTATAGCTTGCGCGTGCGACATAACTCAAACAAATGCCCAATTATAAAGGCAAAAGCAACGAGAGAGGGAGAACGAAGCCTTTTCTCTCGATTTACGGGTAGATAGCTGGCCCGAAGAGAGAGAGAGAGAGAGAGAGAGAGAACACAGCAATGACTCTGCGGATGCTTTTCTCTCACTCTCTCTCGCGTGCAGCCTAATCTGCTTAATCTAGCGTGCGCAATGGCGTTTTGGCTATAAGCCAGAAAGGAGCTCCGAGCTTAATCGCCATAGAAGCGCAGACGCGATACATGCGCCTCTCCAAGACCGAGATAGAGAGAGAGAGAGAGAGAAACGGAGATAGAGCAAGAGAGAGAGACTTTTTTCTTGCGTCCATATCGCATTCAAAGCCAGTCCTACCCTATCTCCACCGGATATATAGAGCATAAACTGCAGATATTTAGCAATGATTAGACCGTGCCCGACTTCTTGTTTGCTTACCGAGTTTTTTTTTGCACGCCACTGTAATATAGAGCTTACCCTCTGTGAAACTAAACTCAACTGTGTCCTTCCTTTTTTCCATATTCAAAGCTTTGCGAGCTCTAACGGCAGAAATACTGACTTGGAACGAGGACGGGGGGGCCCTATTACTTTCCTTGATTTTAATATGAATAGCCCAACTTGTCGTATGCGTTGCGTCAAATTTCCTAGGTATTTTGAGGTAAATGTATAATTTAGCCGTGTCCGCACGCACTGCCGCTTATTTACTAATTTTGATTTATTCTAGCTAATATGTTTGACCACCCCTAAAGCTGCGACAGTTTGTTATCATAAACTCAGAGATTTTCGTTCCTCTACGTAAGTGACTTTCTACATGAAATTATTGTCCACCGTTTTGATAACTTTGATGAATTTCGTGTTATACTTTCCAAATGTCTTTTCACGTGCCAAACGACATTGTATCAAAAAAAACTTTGTGCGAGTTATTCAATGATCGTCCACCCCTCTCTTTCTCTCTCTCTCTCGTTTCTTTTTCAAGTATATACGCATCTTTTAGAAATCGGACTATTCCCCAAAGTTTTTCCCTTGCAACTTATTCCCCCACCGTGAAAAAAAAAACGGAACCAAGATCATATCAAACTCCGAACGACAAAATGAGAAAAGTTCTCGCGTGCCGTCAATCATTTTGGCTGAATTTTTCATTTAGTTTTTTTTCTCGCTCGCGTGTATAATACGTTCTCGCCTGTGTGACTGTACATTTCGAAATATATAAAAATACGTTTCGAGACTCGAAGCCATTACGAAAACAGAGTATAAAAATGCACAGGCTCTCCTCATTAAATTCTAGAGAGAGAGCTTTTGTGCTTTGCAGCCAAATTAGGAGTAATGAACTTTTCTATACCAAACTCTGATATAAAAAAAAAAAAGAAGAAGAAAAAAAACTGTGTACAATGCGAATTAATAGTGCTCGGGCGTCACGAGGTAATTATACGAGCCTCGCTTCGTGTACGCGGTGTGCAGCTCACCGAGCGCCAACTGAGATACCAATTTTCAAAGTTAATTGGACACATCGGTACGTCGAATATAATTTTCAACGATCGGTCTTTTTTTCGCCTAGAAGCGATAATTTATCCCGGGCCAATGGGATTTTTTCCGCTGCGAACTTTCACCGACGCGGTCCTTTTATATATATAAGTCCAAGTGCGCGCGAAAAACATTTATACTCGGTTATCAGATGGAGAGAGAAAGAGAAAGAGAGATTTCGATCGATATGATTTTCTCAAGTAGTAGATAAAGCGAGGTATTTTCACGCTGCCACGGCTCTGATTAAAAAGTATGTTTTTTTTTCTCTCTCTCGAAAAATAAGTGCCAAGTGGCATAAAAGTTGAATTCAAAAAGAACTAATAAGATATAGCGCAGCCTCGTTAATTCTGTCTCTCTAAAAGTCGTCTGCGTAAAAGTTTGAGTAGATGCAGCAGCAGCAGCAGCAGCGAGCTTCGCGAACGATGATTTTCAATTGGCTCGCGCGCCGAGCTAATGTCGAGTGATGCGAGCCTCGGGAAGAATAGGCGACGACGTTCCTCTTCTCTTGCTCGAAAAGTTCTCTCTCGTCGTCGTCGTCGTGGCATGCCTTCGGGCCAACTGCTGCTGCGCTACGCAACGCTGAAAGTGTCGCCTAATCGGGAAGAACACTTGCCAAAGTCGTATAGCTGCGCGCGGGGGGGAGAGAGACTTTCTTCCGAAAGCTTCTCTGCCCTTATATACTTGGCGCAGGGAGAATTGGCAAAAAGGCCGCGAAATCCCGTGCGCGTTCGGGGGTGACAGGGCGCGAGGAGATAGACTTTTCCGCGCGACGCGCGCGGGGGTGAGAGAAAAACTGGTCCAGCTGTAGTAGCAAGGGGGAGAAAAGAGAAAGGGAGGAAAAGAAGAGGATAGGAAAGGCGCGCGCAGCAGCAGCGGCCAGAAGACAAAGTTTGTCGAGGACAAAGCGCGAGAGCTTCGCCTAGGAGAAAGTCAAAGAGTATATATGGTGGTGGTGGTAGGTAGTAGCGCGCGCGGGGCAAGATGGAAGAGCTCTCGAGTTTTCCAGCTCTCTCTCTCTCGCTGCTCCGTTGAAGAAAAAGAGAGGATGACGACGACGTATAAGACTCGAGCTTGTTAAAAGGAAGATAACGGCCAGACAAGAGAAAGACAAATGAAAGTAGAAGTTGGTCCGACTCGACTCGACTCGCAGCACAGCTCGTCTATATGTGGGGGCGCTCGAGAATAGTAGAAAGATGCCTATAAGAATTATACGCTACGAGTTAAAGAAGAAAAAAGAAGCTCGAGTCCTGTGTACGTATATGGACACGCGCTAGCTGCTGCGAACTTTTAGGACCGAGCTTTAGCCGCGTCGTGCGTTATACCTCGCGACGTTTCTTTTTTTTTTTATTCGTTCTCGTTTCTGGACGCGATAATGGGCCAAACGCGATGACTTTTATACGATAAGACTGTGGGATGATAAGAAGATGAGAGGCTCGAAGAATGTACCACGTTGTCGAGCCTCCGCTTATTTATTTATTAATTTTTTCCCTCCTTTTCCCTCTTTCGCGTGCGCCAAAAACTTTCGCGAGATTGCTATTTCGCGATGAAAAATTGCTGCTCGGCGGCGGTGTATGCGCGGTGTGTGGGTATGGGAACGCGATTCCGCCTTTATAAAAACTTGTGCGTTACACAATAATAATAACGTACAAAGAAAAGCGTATATACGCATTTAAGCCCGACGTCGACGTCAATTTTTCAAGCCAACGAAACATTTGTAAGTCAAGAGCTATATACAGCTCGAGAAAGTCGGCGAGATCCGTTCCGGCTTGGCTCAGGCCTTATTTCCATGATGCGCTATATATAAGGGCGGAAGGAACACGCCTACATACACACACACACACGCATGGATGTAAGACAGAGAGAAAGTATATGTAAGAGACAAAATGCGTTTCTAGCCTCCCCGGGGAGTAGTAGCGTATAAGTCTTCAGCCGAGCGTGTGGGAGCTTTTTCCCTCTGTCTTCCGCGCACATTCGCGCACGCGTTACACGAGAGCGACTATACCTACTGCCTACAGTGCTACAATTGCCGCCGCCGCCGCTGCTCGACTTTCGCCTTTGACTTTGCTGCTGCGGTGCACACACAAAGACACGGGGCGCGAGCGAGCGAGCGAGCTAGCGACGCATTGGCCTAGTTACAACTCCGCGTGTGTGCATAAGCTCGCGCAGTCTCAAAAGTAAAAGTTGGAACGCTATATACAACTGCGACTGTACAACTTTTACGCGCTTATACGAAATTACCACTCTATGTGTGTGTGTGTGTGTGTGTGGCTGTGTGCCTCTGTCGCATTTTCCACGAGTCTCCTATATAGTGTTATTTCCTTGTTTAAAGTTTCGGATTCGAAAAACGGCCGAGTCGACGTTGTATTCATAATTTATTTAGTACATCTCTGCCGATAAACGTCAAGTAGCACAGCTTGTTAAAACATTATTTTTTTTTTGCAATTATCTTAGACTTTTGAAGCTTTCCGGTATCGCTCTCGACTTCTCGAGTAATTTGCGTCTGTGCTCTATCCGTGGAATTTTTTTATTTCCTCCTTCGTCTGAAATTATTTATTATCGCTCGATTAGACAGAAGGCAAAAATTCAGTTAATTTTCGTTTGTTTGTCCAGCACTCACCAAGTCGGCGAACTGATTGATGCCCAAAGTGTAACTGACTTCACCCTTGGCGTACTTGGCGTTATGCTCTTCTATCAATTTTTTATTGTCTAAGAATATTTTCATCCTTTGTTGGTCCTCGTCTCCCTCGTATTTTTTATTGAATTGCGACTAAATCAAAACGATACAACCCGTTCAATATGGTATACGAAGAAAACAATTGAAACGTAAATAAACGAAATCGTGATGAAATTTTTGGTGGCGAGCTTACTTTGAAATTTTCCCATTCTTTGGCCCCTTCCAGATCGGCAAGTATACTTGATACGAGGATTGCGCACAGCAAAGCGACAGCGATAAATTTCATTGTTGTCGACGAACTAAAAAATTCACGCGCTTGCAGTTTCAAACTTTTGTCTTTTGAGGTAATCAATATTACTGCGAGGTTGTTATAAAACCTCGGACTGACTGGTACATAAATTACGAAGATAATTTTTATCTTAGCTAACGAAAGAAAAACAGATTTGATGCAATAAAAGTTTGCTTGTGCTTAATTTATTGTTATTGCCAAGTAGTATTTAATAATTTTCTTTATCTCTAAAAAATAATTCAACTTTACACACGTCTTTTTACTCGAGTTGGGTTATTTCAAAAATTTATCATAAAAAAAAAAAAAATTAAACTTCGTAAATGTTTTAACATTAATCGAGAAAAAAATTCTAGTATAATATAGAATAGTGAAAAAATCCAACGTATCGGTACCTTGAAAGACGGCAGCAGCTATTTTACTCGGGTAAAAGTTCATCCACGACTGGCGGAATGCGTCGAGAAGTACGAGCCGACCGAATAAATTGTTACAGATTCATAACGCGACGAATCGCCGCATCGAAGTCAAAGAGCAAGTGTAAAAAATGTATGGCCGATATCGATAAAAGTTTATCTACATTTAGTTGGCCTTTCTCTCGCCTTCGCTCTATATAGAACGCGGTTTATATTTTGTTCGATTAGCGGCGTTACACTGTATACTTTCAATCGTCGGCGTAAGCTTCGAGTTCGTCGAGAGGTGTGTGTTATATTATGAACTTTATAATTTTCGATAGTGAAATATAAAAGTTACAATGTACAGCGGGTAGAGATTACACGGTGAAACATTGCAACAGCGGTTAAACTTGCATACGAACGTACGATGTAATATTCAGAGGCAACTATATATAAGTAATGGATTCGCTCTGGAGTTTCCTAGACTCGCGTGCGTTTGTGCCGTTAACAGCTGTATTCGCTTTCGTCTGTGACAGGGATGACGTTCCTCCGCAGTCCCGAGAATTAGCACAACGACGACGACGACACGAGAAACGCCACATAATTGAACCGCAGAACGCTGTATAAACTATACGGCATCGTACGCAGGCAGTAGAGCAAACGCGTGTAATCGTCGTCGCTTATTCATCATAAAAACTCGATGGCCCTTATATAATCTTTGGAATTTCGAGGAAGCGAAGGGATTTAAAAACCGAGATTCAAAGACGGAGTACAGCTGGATCAGGTTTTTAAATCCGTCAAAGCGTGACGCTTGCTCAGAACCAGGAAACTGCGTCTCTGCCGGTCTGTTGCATATTGTAACAAGGTCCTGCACTCGTCATATCGCACGCGCGTATTATGCCACGTTGCGATACGTAAGTATATATATGCAGCAGCAGCAGGAGGCAGAGTGCATATGCATCCCGTTCGACCGCCGCTCGTATCACATTGCGGTTACGAGGGGATCGTCGGCTAGAGAATGCGAGTATACACGTATAGCTATGTATAGCATAGACGAGAGCATCTTTTATGATACGGAGCACAAGTCCCGGCCATGTGCTACGGCAGATGTGATGCTTATACCGCTCGTGCCTCATACCATATATGTACCGAGCGATGAAGTACGCAGAGGTAATGCGCCGAGCTGCAGCCAGGCAGTCTCCCCGATAACGACTGCCCCGTAATGTAGACGACTAACTATGATTACGCGCTTCGCGATTACGGTATATATGTCGGCCAGGGCGCCGAGGCACGGGTGCAGGACCTAATGAAAAGAACGTATTTGCGTAGCATTATATTGAAGCGAAGAGAGCTGATCCCAGCCGCACGCGATTCGTGTCGGGGCCAGGCTCGTTATTGCGCTTCCACGCACCGCTAAACGACTTCTGCGCACGTCGTACTTTTTATTTTCAATGCGCAAACTTTTGCTCGCTCGCGGCTCGTTGCGATTATAATCGACGCGTGTGCAAAGCTCTTTGCTCCGCGTTAATGTATCGCGATCTATATATATATAGCTTTAACTTTTCCTCTTCCCGAAAAAAAAGTGCGCCGGAATTCCGATTCGATTAATTTAATGAATAGCCCAAACACGATTACGCGCGCGCTAATGCATTGTTCAAAACTCTGCGCAGCAAGCTGCTGCATTTCGCCGTAGTTACGCAGAGATTTGTGTGCCGCTGTTTATCGAACTTATTATATATTCAAAATTGCGAGTGTATGCTGCTGCTGCTGCGCTCCCGAGACGGTGTAACTAAATCATACGCATTCATCTTGAAAGTTTCAGCCCCCCGACTTCGTTTATATATAATTCATTTGCGAAATGTTCTCATTCCGCTACCTATGCTTTTAGTCGATGCTTTATGTACTTTATTACGGCCGTACGTTATATATTTATTCCAACGTTAAATGTCACTGCGTAAACACGCCAACGTGAAATGTAACGTATTGAGCTCCGCGCACTCCATTCGACGCAGATAAAATACATTGAGGCGCTTTCGACGCTTTTCGCCCCGGACACCACGCGATGTTTCTATATGCATTCGTTTACATGACGTACAGCATATTGATATAAGAGATGCGCCAAAGTGATAAGGCAAACGCGTACGACGTATAGATACAGCTGGACGAGGCGCGATAGCTATGTAGAGCAGGAAAAATGTAGGTGCCCCTATCGGCTACCAAAAAAATAAACGCAAAACTCAAAATTGTATACAACTCTACGCCTCGATTCGCTAGAAATAGTATATCAAAAATGAATCTTCATTGGAAATTAAAGGATTTGACAAGTCCACATTACGATGTATCGGAATCGTTTAACTGATACACAGCGCGGTTTAGGGATTCGCACACGCACACTCACGCGCGTGTAACATTATAATCTGCGCAGGGCCGCCGGAAAATCACAAATCACTCACCGAGCTGACATCGATCGCCGCCCCGTCCCAGGGGACACTGGCATCTCTGCACCGGCGTTTGACCTCGCGATATTTCATTCGCCGTAGTGCCCAGCAGCTCGATGTAGCAGCTGCCACCCGGTCCGCAGTCCAGTGTGCAAGACGGCTCCATCAGGGCCGTCGTGCTCGTTCGAGTTTTCATCGTCATAGTCTGCTCCGTCGTCGACGATGACGACGACGGCTGCTGCTGCTGCTGCTTCATTTCTTGCTCGTCGCTTTCTAGCCGAGAGATCTGAGTGCAAAAAACAAGAGTCGAAAATTGAATTTTGGGAAAATATCTTTCTTTTTGTTAAAAGTGTTATTTCAAAACTAGGTCATGCGAATCTTAGCATTTTCTGTTTGAAACGTGGAATGATGAAATTAATCGGGATAAACGCTCACCTGCGACGTCAATGACAAGGCCTCGTCCTCGCCTATTTCATTCGCTGCCTCTTTGTCATCGTCGTCGTTTTCGTCGTCGTCGTCGTCGTCATCGTCTTTATTATTTTCTTCCGGGTCGGACTCGTTCGAGTTACTTCCATTGGCACTGGCGGCGGCGGCACTGCCAGCGGCGGTATCGCTGCTGCTCGATGGCGAGTCGAGATGTATCGTGAACGAGGCGCCTCTCATGTAGAGAACGTCGTCGTCCTCGTCCTCTTCGCTGCTATCCGAATCAACTTCGTCCGAGAGATTGTCATCGTCGTCGCCGCCATCGGAATTATCGTCACCGATATCCGAGAGCTCGCTCATTTCGCTCGTCGCTCCCGAAGTAGAGTTCAGCTCTGCGTAGAAGAAATTAAAAATGAGAAATCTGGTTAAATTTTAGAGGCATCTTTTACGTGATGATACTATTATGCCCATTTTTAACTGTCACGGAGAGAAATACTATTTACCTCTCTGTACCGACATGTATCATTTATACATCTAAATATACTTTATTATTTTCGTTAACACAATCGTAGATTTATTTAGTTCCACAATTTTAATTAACAAATATCAACAAATTCACTACAAATGGTAGACAAACGATATTCAAGCTATCTATTTCTTTGTATTTATAACAATCGCACATCTTTTCTGCCACTTGCGAGAATTGACCATACTCCATCTGTTGGCGAAATCGAAAAGCTTTGATTGTTACAGTTAAAAACTGTTACCGTGCAAAATAATTTTTGAAATATTCATCCTCACATTTTCCCATAATATATAGTAAAATTGCTACATATCAATTTTTACTATGTAATAAAGTAATTTTTAGAATATCTCATAAATATTTTTGAACTACAAAGTTACAAAAATAACTCAATATTATAGTAATATTTAGCATTTACATAGTAGAAAACACCCATAATTCGACTCTGGCATACTTGTTCTAGCGAATATAGTAATATTTGCTAGCGAATATGTTGATATTTAATATAGTATTTCTCCCCATGCGGTCAAATAGAATTTGATATTGCGACTTTAGGGTGAATTTTTTTTTTTGAAAATTCAATTTAAAAAAATGACTATTCAGTAAAACAAAAAAATGCGCGACGAGGTGTTTGAAAGCAGCTAAACTTGACGAACGACACTCCCCCTCTGTCTTTCTTCCGGACAGTCGCGAGCAACTGCAAGTGTGCAGGTAGGTATAGAACACGGAAACCATGCACCGCTCAAGTTATAACACAGCGTGGATACACATAAAGGCTCGTAGTTGCTGTTGCAACATCGTCTGTGGGACTCTTCTTTTTGTCGGCTATGCATTTTTGCTTCCCTTTTTTCCAGCGCAGCGAGCTGAAAGAGACTCGGCGTAACGGATAGAGCGCGCGAGAGAGAGAGCAGATTTTTCTGCCCTTTCGTCGCTCTGTGTGTTTATGAAAAAAGGAAAGAAAGAAAGAGAGCTGAAGAGGTGCGAGAGGAGGACTATGGGCGGAAAAGCCGCCGCAGCGAGATAACACTAGGCTTTGTTCGATGTTTAGTGCCAGCTACAGCAGCGTAGACGTTGCGAAAGCACACACACACACACAATACAGTAAGGCCAACACTATAGTAGGTTATATAAAGCCAGCTGGCGGGGGGGCTCCATTGACCGCAACTGCAACTAGCAGCTAGAGCGCCGGGCTACAACACCAGGCCCTCTCTACATAGAGCAAGGGTTATAATTTCGAGTGGCGAACGCTCGAGCAAGATGATGGAACGCACGAGTGCAATTGACTTGACGCTGCTGCTGCATACGAGCGGAGCAAGAGGGTGAGAAAGAGCACGGGCACAATGTACGGAACACTGTAGCTGCTACATCGCTCGCCTCTACACAGCTGGGCTACAGCTTGGTCAAAAGCAGCCTCTATCCGGCCTTCCGACCAACAACCTCGAGTTAGTTTATTATGTTAGAGAGAGAGAGAGAGAGAGATTTTCGATTGAGAAACAGAAACATGGCTAAAGTTGATGTATTTCTCCAACATTAAAGGTGAGAGAAAGAGAGAGAGAGAGAGAGAGAGAGAGAGAGAGAGATGTGAAATGTCACCCTCCCAGCCTTCGTCCCTCGCGTCTACATTTAGTTTACGTTTAGTCTACATAGCCAAGTTCGTCTAGCACCCCATTCACTCGGCTGTAATTTATTTAGCTTATTCGGAATTTCATTCGATCGGAGCTCTCAGTCGTCGAGTTTACTCCCTTTATGATGTATCGCGATGTATCGTGTGCATCAACGCTTTATGCAATTAATTAAATGCGTTTGTTTGCGAATGCCGATGTCGCGTGTGCAGCTGTTTTCGTACTAAAATACAGTTTTAGGAGTAAAACTTGATGCTTCTAAATTGTAGCGGGTAATAGTGCTATCCGAAGAAAAGTTATCCATCGGAAAACTCAGAGAAGAGAAATTTTTATGTTTTCCTGCACTCGATGTAGTATTTGACAATGAATAGATAGAGTTTTTGGTTCCAAATAAATTCGTTCATACGTATATACCATTTTATAAATTAACAAACAAACTGAGTACATTACGGAGGTAAATGCCATCACAAAAGGGCCCTTTCGAATGCGTCTGTTTCAAAAAGCATACAAAGGGGTCAACCCTCGAAAACTGGTAATCAGTAAATGGCTCGTATGATCTCTGGAAACGATGTTTGCTCCTAGATTGTATAAATTCAACGAACCGTAGGCCGTCTCTTGTTTGCTTTGTGCACCTTTGAAGATTTTCAACACTACTTACGCTAAAACTTCAAAAAGAAGTGGTCTCATTAGCGCTTTTTCGGTGTACCTTCTACGCCAAACTGTTTTTTATGATACATTTTTTTAAATGCAATATTTGTCATGACGAACAAATATGTATGATTCTATTTAAAAATACATTTATTGCATTTGTTGACTGACGTTGATTTTTAAATTTTTTACAAGTTTCGAAAATCGATGCAACTCGAACAATGGTAGTCAAATAGTTTTATTTTTACGCTGGCAGGTGAAACTTGATAAAATTAAACCGACGTTCGGCTTGAATTTTTATTCAAACTTGTCCAACGGAAAGAGATCAATCTAATTTTGTTGAAAAAAGGCATTTTATGTAAGATTTAAAAAATGTTAGTTTCATAATTTCTAGTGAATCTTGAAAACTCGATGATACGTACTTAAAATGATCAAAGTGCAAATAAAATTTTACGATCATGCACCCATAAATATTATCTATTCTACGTGTCTGAATATCTATATGTACATAAAGCTCTAACATCTCCAGAGTTCAAAGTTAAAGTAGGCAAGCTCTAGTCAGGAAATTATCTCGCGTTCGGCTCGGCTTTGTGAATTTTCAGAAAGTCGACTAATAGATTCAATTGAATCCTCAAAGTTATTAGGCTTTAGGAAATCAAGAGAGCTTTGCAAATTGTTCACGCGTGACCTTAATCTGCAGAATTTTATATTGAACCTATTTATAAGTGAAAAATTTTGCACGTAAAATACCAAAGTAGTTTGTACATCGCTCATCGGATAACTTTACTTTAGCGATTAATTATCATAACAGTGACAAAATGTTGGTAAAAAAACTCTAATTAACAAAGAAAAAAAATTCTAACCGGCTTGATAAGGTAATTTATGGTACAAAGGTTTGAGTAATTATAATAAAAAAAGAGGTAAGACTAAAGAAAAAAAAATTAGGTGATGCGAAGAAAAAAGCTAAATGTTAATTTTTTATTGAATCTCTAAAGAGTCAAGACAGTAGATGAAACCCATGATTTTCATTGGTCCTAGCGGGGTACTATAATGAATTTAAAGCTATATAAATGAATCGAGTAATTAACGATTCACGCAGTGAACCGCGAAACCAAAATGGAACACGTCTGTTACATTAATTCGGACTGACTTATAGGCGGTGCGCAAGCTCATTGATATGGTAAATTCTCTCTCTGGCTGCAGTACTAGCTCGTTTTCCGTTTGCGCAGTTCAGTATGTCAGTACGCAGACTCCACTCTGCGACGTGCTTCCTTAAAAAAAAAAAAAAAAATAGGCAAACGTCCTTGGGCGCATAAAGCGAATGTAAAAGTTGACCCCGAAAAATAAAAAGAGGAGCGGCGCGAAAAAGAATGTTGAAAAAAGACTTTCTTTACTGAGCAGAGAGTCATGCTGAGAATGCATATGGGCGCGATATGCAAAAACGAGGATAATGTAAGAGATGTAATCCAAAAGGCACAGAGCTACGTTCTGCGACTCTGTAAAAAAAACTTAAAACATAAATTCTGCTGGAGTCGGACTTTGCCTTCATTTATATAAAGAACTTGAATCCTAAACTATGAGTGCGAGACTTGGGAGCTAACACTTTTAAATGGCTAAATTTAGGATACGGAAAATGCGAGGAAAAAGTCGAGACACAGAGTAATTGAAACAGAAACTTTTACTTTTTGATACTACGTGAAAATAATAGATAATTTAACTAATTTACATTAAACATAATTTATCTTTCGCAATCAAAGCCTCTGACACTTATTTCTTTCTAAATTTTCAAAGGCACCACTGACAATAGATTAGAAAATTGCTAAACTCACCATCACAACTGTAGCCGTTTTTATGCAACACGAATCCATCTTTGCAGTCGCATTCGTACATGCCGTCGTGGAGCTCGTAACACAACTGCTCGCACGGCGAACCACGACCGCAGCGACCTGGAAAACAAAAACGAAACAAAAAAAAAATTATCAGAAATCCGTTAGAAGAAATGCATTAATTTTACTGCGCTCTAATTTTGCGAATTTGCAAGCAATATACGCGTGCGCCCCCCTGCCGCCCCAAGATTTATGGCCTTCGCAGAGCTGACAGGAAGGAAACTTGCGAGCTTGCGTTTCGGGAATTTTCGCTGCGAAGCCAACGCGACGATGGATACAAATGCTTTTGCAGTGTACGCGCGCCTGCCAGCGGTTAGAATATCGATACTCTCGCGGTATTTACGGCGCCTACACGCCACATTGTTACGTTCGTAGATTCTATTTTTTTTTCACCCCTAAAATTTCATTTTCAGTTCGATTAGATTGATTGAGAAAATACATTATGATGTCCTAGAAGTGACAACCAATGATAAAAAAAAAATATTGGTAGGTATTTTTGCAAAAATATACTCTGTGCAGTTTAAAAATATTTTTAAATATTCGAATGAAGCAGGGGTTTTCAAAAAAAAAGAATGCTTACGTTTGTTTAAATAATTGTTGACATATCAAAATGAAATAACTCAATAAATATTTGAGCTGAAAAATAGAGCGGAATATTTTCCAGGGATAAGGGTGATCGTTGGGTAAATTTGCATTTTGGGCAGTGACAAACAGCTCCACGCAGATGATGATGTACACTGTCCCTATGACAGTGACGTTGATGGTTATTCTGTCGTCGTTGAAAAGTCATTAAGCAGAGAAAATAGCGAGGCGCGAAATTCCGATGCTCTAGCCCCAGTATCTTGAGATTCATTTCCTCGCTTATGTCATTACGCCTGCATACACAGGCCCCACAAAATATATGCATAGCAACTCGCTGGCATTTCGTCTCAATAATCAAAGTTCATCCGGATTCTCGACGCGATGTGTCGAGCTCCTGCTCATTTCCACAAACGTATACTCTGCTCTCGCGTATAGACCAATTTACACATTGCAGTTAAAATGAAAATTCGTTGCTGCTGCTGCTGCTCGCCGAGCAAATGCGTAAAATCGCTCTCTGGTGCGTTGTGCGCTGCTGAACGCACATCAGCAGAGGGAGGGAGGGAGAGCGGATATTCTGTGTCTGAACGATGCAACTTCCTCGCACACACAGTAAGCCCCAGAGTACATTGCCACGTCAGGCTATACGCATTATATTATGACGAATGTGCGTGCGCGTCTAGGTGCGAGCTTACGAATATTCTCGCTGCTGCAACACATAGCTCTAACATTTCGTGTTTGCCCCGTACGGTCGTGGAAAGCCAACTTGAAATAAACCGACAAATAGATTGCGTATGTATGTAACATTTGTATAGAGAATACACGCGTGCATGTGCTGCTGTCGCGATACAAATGAGCGAAGATTATGTGTTTGATTCTCTGTTAAATCGAACGAGACAAATGAATAATTTCCTGCCGACACGATGAATATCGGATTCGGTCGTGTTCTTGAATTTTATCAAATTTTGGGATTTGTTCGTGGCCACTTTTTAGAGGCATAACAGTGGCAATTTTACCGAAAAAAGCTAATGCAATTATATTATAGGTAATTTGGATTTTTCCAGGATTTTTGGAGGATTCATATACGCCGACACGCTTTTAGCGTTCGCTACTAATGCTGAATATAAAAGTTTTTCTTTTGAAATATATTTCTCAATGCACTGAGAAAAAGAGGTACGTCTAAATTTTTCTGAAAAATTTTTTCAAGCGGTCAGAACATTTTGAAGGTCTGTTTTCACTGCAAAATGCAAATGAATATATAGTTTTTACATTAAACATTTTTTTGTCTGTTCTAGGAGTATTATTTATTTTGTAGTGTTGCATTGAAAGTCTTCTGAATGGCCGAACTGGCAAAAAAAGGTTACGTACATTTGAAAAGTTTAAAAAATAGTTAGCTGATTGATGTAACAAATGTATAACAAACCATATTACGAGGAAATCATAGGCTATTTTAAGAAAAGCATTAGTGCCAAATTAAACGAGAGTAACAAGCAGAGAGAAAGCTTTTACAGATGCCTAGAAGTGGAGGGGAAAAAAAGAATGTTTGAAAGAGATGGTTCATACTGTAGAGCAGCAGGCCTCAAGGTTTCAGGCAAGAGCAGTGCCTGGCATATATGCAGGGTAGCACTATAATCCAGCCAGTTGTGAAGTAGGTTAACGGGCTGCTGCTGCTGCTACTCCCAAGTCGTGACTGCGAACGCTCGAGGCCGATCCCGAGTAGTATAAACAGAAAAAGCGACCACGCGCACGTACCACTGCCTCTCTCGCACCTATAACGTATATACATTTTTCAGTATACGCGCCCGTTTGAGGCTTATTACGCGCTGGGCATGCTGTGTCGGTAATATACTCGGTTACGGTCGAGCAGCGCCTCGTACTGAAATCATGCCTACTCGACCTGTAATCATGATTATAGGTCGAGGACACGTAGCGCGCTCTGCCGGCGCTCAGACGTTGCGATCGCTGCCTACAACAGCTACGGCCAAAGTTCTATAACCTGTACCAACTATCGTTTGAGACGAACAGACCCAAAACAAGATGAATTTTAATTCGATGTTTGCTGTTTCCACCAGCAATCAAAAAGAAAGCGACAACGAAAGCGACAGTGACAGTGATGAAATACAAAGTGAAGCTGCCCAGGAAATCCAAAGACTAATAGAAAAAGCAAAATCTAATGTCATACCTGAACAATCCAGACCTCTGTATGAAAAGCAGTACATGATCAATAAATTTTTGAGATAATAAAAATATTTTAAATATACATTTTATCACTCCTCCATAAGTGCATTTATGCATAAATTCTTTATTATAGAACTTTTCACAGCTCGCCTTCGGCTCGCGAAAAAATACTTAAAATTAATCACAGCTCGCCTTCGGCTCGCGAAAAAATACTCAAAACTAATCACAGCTCGCCTTCGGCTCGCAAAACCCTCTTCGCATCAAATCTGTATCATTTGCACTGGGCATTATTTTATAGCTCCTCAAAACGTGCGCTTATGCAGAAAAATTTTTTAGACATCAATGGCTGGTGTAGCGGTGTGATTAGGTCTCGTCGTGTTTGCAGCGTTGGGGACGCCGTAGTGCCTCGGCCGCACGCGGCCTCGGCGCCTACAGCGCCCCAAAGCTGCAAACACAACTCGACCGTAATCACACCACTACCAGCCCTTGATGTGTAAATAACTAAGAGACGTCGTACGACACAGGAGAATTAGCGATCGCTCTCGGCTATCAAGCTTCGAACTCTTGGCCAATATGCTAGGCATATACTGCTTGAGCGAGCAAAATCGTTACAATTGACGGATCTACTTGTACGACTTACTATTACATTTATTCCCAAGATTGTGACTGCATGCGAGCCAAAACTCGACACATCTACATCTTCGTGCTATGATATATACTTTTTGAAGTTACACAAAAATATTCAAGTGATGCATTTATGGTTTTTTTTTTCAACACTCTATTACTAACTGCTACAAAGGCAATGTAAGACGCAGTCGTTTGAATCAAATAATTTAAATCCAAATGAAACGATATTTTCTTGAATTCAATAACATTGCCTAAATGCGGAAACCTTCAATAAAATGTGAAGGGGAAGGAAAAATGAGTATACTGATGATTTTACTGATAATGATTACTCTTTAACTTAAAAACATCAAAAAAAAATTGTTCACTTATTGAGTCTACCATACATGATTAATTTCATTTGTCACTCTTTTTATAGTTTTTTTTTCATTATTTAGTAGCTCACTAATTTTCAGACTAACATTGGAACCTTATTGATTTCTCGAAAACCCGGCATGATGAATGAGAGTACATCGACGAATGGAACGAGTATGAGAAATGAATTAATTAAAACGTTTTGGGGCATAGTGTTCCAGGGGATAAGAGAAAGCTTCGGTAAGGTAACACGAAAATGTAATTAATTTACGTACATTTATATATAAGTAGAGCTTCCATCGTGAACTTAGTTGAAAGCTCTATTTCATTTCGGGAAATGTACTATTGCTAAAAATTCTTTGCGCTCCCAGTGACTTTGAGAAAAAAAATTGCTCGACACAAGAAAGGCATTTTTCTTATTTGAGATATCGTACAGTTGATTTATCTAATGACTTATTCAATAAATGTATAGTTTCATAAAAAGCTTGCATGCCATTTAAAATGTACAAAAAATAGTTTCATTTTGAATTTTGTGAAATATATACATAAATTTGGTTAAAGATCGTCTATGGAATCATGATAATTCTCTGATTGCTTTCAATAATTTAGTCGTGAATCAAATTTACACTTTTCGATTTCGGAATATCTTAAAATTGTTATCAGCAAATAAATTGTGTTTTCTAAACTGATTAACTTTAAATCATCGCATACATTAGGAGAAACATGATATTCTGTTATTTAAAGCTGTGTTAATAAAAGATTATTGTAATATTTTCTTAAAATACATTTTGTGGGCGTTGCTAACTAACATTTAACACCAAAATAGAAAAAACAACCCTCAATGCAACTCTAGCCTAAATTATTCAACTGAACTCGGCCTTGAGGTTCAACCACTGCTACGAAGTCGGGACAAGGAAAAGAGGAGGGGGAGGGAGGGGTGTCGAAACTAGATATGCGCGCACCTGCTCAAATGAAGAAAGCAGAGTTGAGAGTCACTGAGTTGCAAACCTCCCTCAGCCAAGTATCCATGTACTATACTGCTCGGAGCTTTTGAAGTATGCTCGCATACATCTATATCTATGTTGTTATAACTTTATATACGCATTTATATTATTGCTATGGTAACCTGCTATTCAGGCATGTTGAATGTTTTTACAGAAAATAAGTACCAAGTCCTTTCCTTTATTATTCTAAAAGATTCTTTAAGATCGAATTGTGTAACCTAATATAGTTTCGTTCAAACGTCATGAACGGCTTACACAAATAAATAATTGTGCCAAGGCACATTCGGTTTCTGCCAGTTGTACTTTTTTTAGGCTTTTATA